CAGACCCAACAAGCAGGGACACCAGGAATGGCTCTCGAAGGTGCTTTGGTGTCTCAGTGTACGATGACCAGACTATCGCCCTTTCTACCCTTTGTGACCTGGCCTCTTCCTCTTCCTAACAACCTGCATAACCCGGCCCCACACTAAGGGTCATTTCCAGATTTTCCAAGCTCTCCCTGTGCCCCCCAGGATCCCAGCACCCACACTTGGTTAAATATCACTGGAGGACAAGACTGGGACAACAGAAATGGAACTGGGGTTCTGACAGGCTGCGCTTCTGACATGTCTGTGATAGACCACATCAGAAGAACCCAGAGCCAAAAAGAACACAGGATCATCTCAATGGCCACAGAAAAACCATTCAACAAAATCCAACAACCCTCCATGATAAAAACTCTCAAACTAGGAATAGAAGGGAATTTCCTCCACCTGATAAAGAGCATCTATGACAAACCCACAGCTAACTTCATACTCACAGGACAAAGACCGGAAGCCTCCTTACTTAGATCAGGAACAAGGCAAGGATGCCCACTGACCACTTCCATTCAACATTACACTGGAGGTGCTAGCCAGAGCAAGTAGGCAAGAAAAAGAAAGGCAGGAGATGGGACTTCCTTGGCCGCCCAGTGGCTAAGATTCATCCAGTCGTTAAGACTTGGTGCTTCCACTCCACAGAGTAGGGGTTTGATCCCTAGTTGATCCAGGAACCACAAGGCTCCACCAAAAAAAGAAATGAAAGGCATCCAGATTGGAAAGGAAGGAAAACTATCTCTACTTATATATAGGAAATCCTGAGGAATCCACTCAAAACAACTATTCCAGCTAATAAATGGGTTTAATAAAGTTGCAAGATACGTGACCAATACAAAAAACTGAATTGTATTTCTATACAGTGGCAACAAGAAAAATGAAAAGGAAATTAAGAAAACAACTCTTACAATAACATCATAAAGAATAAAGTGCTCAGGAATACATTTAACGAAAGTACAAAACATTGGCAAAAGTAATTGAAGTCCTGGGGAATTTCCCCATGGTCCAGTGGTTTGGACTCTGTGCTTTCACTGACAAGGGCCCAGGTTCAATCCCTAGTCAGAGAAGTAAGATTTCACAAGTGGGATAAAAAGACATCCCATATTCATGGGTAATACTCCCCCAAATTCAATGTAATATTCAATACAATTTCAATATCTATTCAATGCAATTTTCAATATGAATTCAACTCAATTGCCACAAAATCACAGCTGGCTTTTCAGAAATTGACAAACTGATTCGAAAATTCATATGGAAATGCAGGTGGCCCGGAACAGACACAACAATCTTGAAGAGTACAAAGTTGGAAGACCCACACTTCAAAATTTATTTACAAAGCTCTAGTAAAAGCTGTGGTGAAGGCATAAATATAGACATTTCTCCAGAAAAGATAAGCAAATAGTCAGTAGTACAGGAAGGATACTCATCAGGAAATGCATTTGGAAAGCACAATGAGACAGATACCACCTCAAACAATAGATTGGCTCTAATCTAAAATGTGTGTTGGAGAGGCTGTGAAGAAATTAGAATCCTCTTACACTGCTGGTGGGAATGTAAAATGTAAAATGATGTAGGCTTTGTGGAAAAGAGTTTGGGCAGCTCTCAAAATACTAACCATAATTACCATATGATCCAGCAAATCCATTTCTGGGTATTTACCCGAAAGAATTGCAAGCAGGGACTCAAACAGGTATTTGTACACTCATGTGCACAGGCTGACTGTTCACACTAGCCAAAAGGTGGCGATAAGTCAAATGTCCATCACCAGATGATGACAAATATTATGTGGTATATAGCCACACAATGGAATATTATTCAGTAGTAATAAGAAATTTCGTACCGAGAACATGCTACAATGTAGAAGAACCTTAAAAACATGATAAAGAAACTGGACAACAAAAGATCAGGTATCATACGGTTCCTGAAATGAAACTGGTTCCATTGAAATGAAATGTCTGGAACAGGCAAGTCCGTAAAGACAAGTAAACTAGTGGTTGCCAGAGCCTCGGAGCTACTGGGACGAATAGGCATGTGACTGCTAATGGGTATGAGGTTTCTTTTTAAGGTGATGAAAATGGTCTGGAATTGGTGATGGTTGCACAATTCTGAATATACTAAAAACCACTCAACTGTACATATTGCAAGGGTATATGGATTATACATCAGTACAGCTCTGTGTGTGTGCATTTTTTTTTTAATAACTGTGAATCATCTGGAGAAAAGGGTCTGGAATCAAGGCTAGAATAGAGACTTCAGACTTCTTAACCTGGGGGTCAGAGGCCTCTGAGGACCTAGGAAAGAGCCTCAGGGCATAAGGAAGCCACATGGCAAGTGGTATAGGTGTCCTTGTGTGTGTCTCTGGGCTGTGCTGCGTCCTGGTGGGGTTCCTCATTTTGGTAAGATGTTGGGGCCACAGGCACATATGGACAAGCCATGGAGAAGCATCTCTGAAACCGGGAAGCACCAGAATTTAAGTGGTGGGTAGGCAGAGGTCCTGGATGCTGGCCTTCTGGACAAAAACTTTCTTCCCTCTGAAAAGAGGTTCAAGCCGGGAGAAGTTCCCTGCTAGCCCCTGGACCTGGAGTCATCTGGGATCGCTAATGGTTTTCTCTCCTCTCTAGATTTTTTACAATTCAATTCTCTTTTATTTTCCCTTAAAGGACAGCTTCTTTTCTTAAAAACTGCACCCATACTGTGTAACACAGGGCACTCCACTCTGTACTCTGTAATGATCTATATGGAAATAAAATCTAAGAAAGCGTAGACGTAAGTATAAATAATTCACTTTGCTATACAGCAGAAACACAATAATATAAATCAACTATAGCACAGTAAAAATTAAAAGATCAATGTAAAGTTGTAAAAGGTAAAATCAAACCACATCCAGTCTCCGATTCTGTCCAAACTTCTGTGGGAACTTTAAAAGGGATCAATGTCCCCAGGGCCTGGTCGGTGAGGGCTGGCAAAGACCAGGAAAGGCAAAGGACCCATCTCCTGGGGGAGCTGTTCACCTAGGGCTTGGGGGTCTCCCTCCAGGAGAAAACCCTGGCCCAGGACTTCCCTGTCCAGCTTCACCTCAAGTGTTCCTCCAACAGGAAGCCTCCCTGAAGGTCGACCCAGCCAGACCTGAGAACCCCCACTCCTGCCCTGGGGAATACGGAGGATCACAGCAGCATCCTCTCCCAAGCTTGGCTGGCTCAACTCAGGCCTGCAGCATGGGGCAGGTTGCTTTCCACTTTATCCCCACGGGGTTGGCCCTCAATGAAGTTCTACCATCAAGAGCCAACTCAAGAGCTTTGGATTCGCTTGCCATTTGATGGAATGATTGCAAGAAAAGGCAGCCATGAAGATGGGATCGCATGGCCTTATCGACCAACCAGGGCAACCCACCTAACACCCCCCCCCAGCCACCTCCCTCCCAAGAGCCTTGGTGCTGACCACTGGGATTCCACCCAACCGCCTGGTCTAGTGACCCCAACCTGGGTCATTCCCCAACCCGATCGCAGGAGGAGGAAATAGAAATAGCCAGGCCAAGATTTCCAAACAGCTGGAAGGAGAGATGAAACCAAGCACGGGCCTGGGGTGGGGGTGGGGTCGGGAGGGTAGCGGGTACTGAGGCAGAAAGAAGGCAGAGAGCCACCAGCCAGGAAAGCAGAAGGCCTGCGCGTCCACTGAGACCTGCCTGGGACAGGCGGGGAGGAGCGCCACCAGGCTGGGGCATGATTCCACATCTGGCCTGCCGCCGGCTTCTGCCCGGGTGGGTCCAAGGACCTACACTCCCACCACGCACCCAGTGCTCCCACGTCCTCCCCCGTCTCCCCCACACCACAGCCAATGCCTGCAGGAGATTCCCCGATTTTTCTAAGGAGACCCCCTTTCTCCCAACCAGCACCTCTCCGACCTACACCTGCGCCCGGTGCGGACCAACAAACCCAGAGTAGAAACGGGTGCGCCCGGTTTGCCCCTGGGTCCCAATCCCCCCCCCCACCTCTGACCTTGAACTCCCTCCACAGAGCCCGGGGAACGTCTCAGGCCAAGCCACTGGGACGCGTCTCTAGACGGTTCTCAGGGTGCACAGAGAAAGTACACACACGCGGGGTGGCAGGAGCCTCCGCGCACACACAGACGGGGCACAAGCACGCACTCACGAAGTCACGCCACGCACAGGCAAAGGAGCCCTGCTCCGGGTCCGAGAGCGCGACCTGGAGTCTCCCATCTCTCTGGGCGTCGAGCACTGACCGGTCCACGCCCCCACCCACTGCCCAAAGGACCTGCGGGGCACAGGGCGGGCCGGGCACCGACGGCCGAGGGCTGCCCTTCTAGCAGATCCAGCGACGGCCGCTCACTCGAGGCCCCGAAGGCCTGGGAGCCCACTGTTGGCTTGGGCAGGGACAGAGCAGAGAGGGGTTGCTGGGGGAGGTACCTGATCGCTCCATCTGGGCGTCGGCGGGGTCCCGGGGCGCAGCCCGCGGGCCCCCGTACCCCTGGCCCGAGGGGACCGTGATTTGCCCCCGCCTCCCGGAGCTCCGCGAGCGCCCACCTCCCTTCCCCAGCCCCGGGGCCAGCGGGGCCAGCGAGATTGAGGAAACGCAGGCCGTTGCTATGCAACCCCCGTCCCGCGCCGGCGCTGGTGGCAACGCGATTCGGTCTCCGGGTCTCGGGGTGCTGGCGCAGCGGACCCGGGCTCAGCCCAACTTCCCGACCCAGACCGATCGGGATCCAGGGCTTGCCTCGCAATCAATCGGGCACCCCAGGGATGTGCCCTGTACCCGGATTTCCACGCAGGAACTCCCACCCGCTCCCCCATCTGTGCCTGGTTCCCACGGACACCAACACCCAGCCGCCCCAGAGACGGAGGATGAAAATGCCTCCGTAACCTTCTCCGCTTGGGGCCCTCCGGCCCCTCCAACGGGCCCTCCGCCCGAGGTGACGCCCCCCAGCCCCTCGCCCCCGCGGCCGGGCCACCCTACCTGCAGCATCACTTTGTACTGCTCCTCCGGCTTCTGGACCACGCACATATTACATCCCATGGTGCCGGCCGCCAAGGGGAGGAGGGCGGCCACTGGAAAACGCCTTTCACTGGCCCGATCGCGGGACCTCGGGCCCCAGGCCGGGGCCGGGGGCCATAGCCTAGCTCGGGGGCGGGCCGCCTAGCGGGGGAGGGGGGCACGCCCCCGAGATGGGGGCAGCTCCACGCCCCTCCAGTTAACCCTTAGCTGTCCGCGGCCCGGCGCGGGCAAGCTCCCTCGCACCCCGCCAGGGAAAAAAAAAAAAAAAGGGCAGCGGGGGATGGGCGGGCGCGCCAGGCGTTGCTTGGCTACCGTCCCCCCGCCCCCGGAGGCGCAGGGGCGCGCCAGGAGGCTGGGGGCCGTCAAGGGCCGCGGGCCGAAACCCCCCCAGCCCGCGGGCTCCGCGGCTCCCGCTGACGCCTCCGGCTCCCACCCATGGCCACCGGCCCCAGGAGCCCGGCCCTCGCGCTTGGCGCCGCGTCCGGGCCCGCCGACTGGGGGGAGCGGCGGCCACCCCGCTCGCAGCCAGGGCTCCCCGCCCCACCCTGCCCCGCCCCGCCCGCGCTCCCGCCTGACCAGGCCGCGCTCCCGGCGCTCCGGGCGCCCACTCTCCGGCCCGCCGCCCACCCAGCAGTCTTCGGCTCCCGCCTGGGACAACGGGCACGGCGCGCGCGCGCCCGCGGCGGCAGCAGAGGAGGGGCGCGGGGAGCGGGCGCACGCGCGCGGGAGAGAGGGGAGCGGGGCTGGGTGGGCGAGCGCGAGGCTGGAGGCAGAGGGAGCCGGCGCTGGAAGTCAGGGGCGGGGCCTTGACCCGAGTCCTGGGGGTGGCGGGAGGGTCTCTGGTTCCATGGTTCCCCGCGATCGCCAGCGTCCGGCGCGGAGCACCTGGCCCTGGATTTGCCGACTGCACGGGACCAGCCCGGGATGCCAGGGTCCGGGGTGGAGGAGCGCCTCCCGGGATCCCCCAACGAGCTCGCGGTCTTGGGACTAGGGGAGGGGGTCACGATTTCAGCCTCTTTCCCACATCCTCCGCGCAGCATCCGTATCTCCGGCTTCCCTTTAACGATCGCTTCTCTCCTTCAACTCAACAGTTCTCTCTTTGTCGTTGTAAACGTACACCTTTGTTAAAATTTTAAAAACAAAAACTTTTTTTAATAAGAGAGAAAAGCGTGAGGTTGGGTGGGTCTCCAGGAGAGCCAAGCGAGCGGTTTGGGATGCCTGGGCCCCGGGCGCACCGGATCGGCTACCTACCTGCGTCTCTCTCTGCCTGCGCCCAGCGTGCCTCTTTCACGTTCCCTCCATCTCTTCCCTCATCTCTCCCACAACCTGCCCTGGCTTCCTTGAACTAGCCTGGAGAGGGAAGGCCTTGGTCTGGAAAGAGGCCTCGGATGGAGGGCCGGGTTCCCATGGGGTGCCGGGGAGAGCCGCAGAGTCCAAGCCCTTTGGCTGCAGAGATGACTTGATTCAATTGTTGCCTGCTTCATTGCCAGGTCTTGGCAAGTGATGGAATCCTGTTAACCACATAGGGCTGTTTAATTACACCGCAGCGGTTGGTGGAGGCCCCTCCATAGCCCTCCTTTCCTCCCTGACTCCTGGTTTAGAGAACAGAAATCAGTAATATGCTGGGCCTGCCTGGAGTCTGGAAATGGGATGTGGATGTACATGCCCCTGGAGACAGGGCTGGTGTGTAGGTTGCATATGTCAGAAAGTGGTCTCAGGGGAATGAGAACCGATGTCAGGGTATGTCCTCAAGCTGGTTGGCACTTGAAGCTGCTGGGACTTGACCCTGCTAGGGGCAGGCTGGATATAACTGTCTACCCCAGACCTGGAGAGGAGACTGGTGAAGGTGAAGGTGAAGGTGAAGGTGAAAGTCACTCAGTCCTGTCTGACTCTTTGCGACCCCATGGACTTAGTCTATGGAATTCTCCAGGCCAGAATACTGGAGTGGGTAGCCTTTCTCTTCTCCAAGGGATCTTCCCAATCCAGGGATCAAACCCAGTCTCCTGCATTGCAGGCAAATTCTTTGCCATCTGAGCCACCAGGGAAGCCCAAGAATACTGGAGTGGGTAGCCTATCCCTTCTCCAAGGGACCTTCCTGACCCAGGAATCGAACCGGGGTCTCCTGCCTTGCAGGTGGATTCTTTACCACCTGAGCCACCAAGGAAGCCCCAAGAGGAGACTGCCATACCACAAAGGACCACAAGTTTGGTGGCTTCAAACAACAGAAACAGAAATTATTTTCTCCATAGTTCTAGAAGCTCCAAGTCCAAAATGAAGGGTTGACAGGGCCGTGCTCCCTCTGAAGGCTCTGGGAGGGGGGGTGTCCTCCTTTGCCTCTTCTTAGCTGCTTGGGGGCTCTTAGCCATCTTTGCTCTTCCTTGCCTTATAGCTGCATGGCTCCAGGTTTTGCTTCTGTCTTCACATGACCTTCTTCCCCATGTGTCTCCTCTGTGTCTGGGCCCAACGTTCCTTCTTTCTAAGGACACCCTGGCAGTCCAGTGGTTGGGACTCTGCACTTTCACCGCTGAGCAGCAAAATAAATCAATACAAATTCAGGACCCCAGTCTTTGGATTTAAAGTGAAAGTGAAGTCACTCAGTTGTGTCTGACTCTTTTCGACCCCATGGACTATATAGCCCACTATGCCCCTCCATCCATGGAATTTTCTAGGCAAGAGTACTGGAGTGGGTTGCCATTTCCTTCTCCAGGGGATCTTCCCAACCTGGGGATCGATCCCAGGTCTCCCACATTGTGGGCAGACACTCTACTGTCTGAGCCACCAGGAAATCCTTTTGGACTTAGGGCCCACCCAAATCCAGTGTGACCCCCTCTCAACTCAGTCACATCTGTAAAGATTAATTCCAAAGAAGGTCACGTTCACAGGTACCAGGGACTGGAACTTGAACTTTTTTTAATATCTGTACATTGTTTTTAATTTTTTTTAAGGAACTTGAACTTTTTTGGAGGATGTAGCTCTACCCACTCTCTACACATTGGCAAGTCCAGCTTCTCAGCCTGCCAAAATGGACTCTGCCTCTTGGTGGGAGGAGAGACAAAAGTCACAGTCGATAGGACCGTGAGTGTCTCGAACGTGAGTGCAGACTCCAGTGTGTCCATTTTGCCATCTACCGTAGCCTCCTCCATCACCCATTCTAGATATTTCTCCCCCTCAGAAAGCATCTCCACTGGTCTAGGTGATTCTCCTGGGGGACTGAACCAGACCTTTACCCACCACAGCTCTGAGTGTTTAATTGTTTTCTCTTTATTAGGCCACCATTGTGCAGTTGCTTATTTTATCAATCAAGTTTATTAAATTGCTTATCTATTAATATTTTTTAAAGATTTATTTATTTGGCTGCTCCAGGTGTGTGTCGCCAGCTTGCAGGATCTTCATTGCCATGTGTGGGATCTTTAGTTGTGGCCTGTGAACTCAGTTGCCCCATGCAGGATCTAGTTCCCTGACCAGGGCTTGAACCCCTAGTGAATCTGTGTGTCACAAACATACTTCTTACTGTCGTTGGAGAGCAGCAATGCTAGCGCCTGAAGTTCTCAGGGTCAACTGCCCTGCCAATACAGAGGTCTTTTCTTGGCTGGATGATCCCTGACTATGAGGAGTCCACATTAGCCAGATGGCAGGTTTCTACAGAGCCCTTCCCATGAACTCTGGTGGAAGCAATGCCCTGGACCCAGAAATCAGGACCTCTAGCCCGAGAGGGCCTAAGCTTTCTTCAATAATGCCTGTGTGAGGAAGCCTTCATAAAAAGCTACCAGGATGGGGTTTCGAGAACATCTGTGTTGGTGAACACAACAGACGTGCTGGGAGAGTGGCGCCTGGTGCATCACATCCATCTGCCAGGTCCTCTGTTATATCCTTTTATAAGAAGCTGGTGGTCTAGTAAGGGAAATGTTGCTTTGAGTCCTGGGAGTCCTTCTAACAAATTAATGGAACCCTCAGAAGGGGTCGGGGGAACTTCTCATCTATGTAGCTGGTTGGTCAGAAGCACAGATGACAACTTGGCTTGTGCTTGGCATCTGAAGTGGTGAGGGGCAGTCTCGTGAGACTGAGTCCTTAACCTGTGGGATCTGATGCTATCTCCAGGGAGACTCAAAGTGTGTTGCTGTTGCATTGAATTAGACCAGCCGATGTGTGAGAACTGCTTGGTGCTGGGGAAGACGTAGTCAAGGCTATGGTTTTTCCAGCAGTCATGTATGGATGTGAGAGTTGGACTATAAAGAAAGTTGAGCGCCGAAGATGGATGCTTTTGAACTGTGGTGTTGGAGAAGACTCTTGAGAGTCCCTTGGACTGCAAGGAGATCCAACCAGTCCATCCTAAAGGAGATCAGTCCAGAATATTCACTGGAAGGACTGATGTTATAGCTGAAATGCCAATCCTTTGGCCACCTGATGCGAAGAGCTGACTCATTGGAAAATACCCTGATGCTGGGAAAGATTGAGGGCAGGAGGAGAAGGGGACGACAGAGGATGAGATGGTTGGATGGCATTACTGACTCGATGGACATGAGTTTGAGTCAACTCCAGGAGTTGGTGATGGACAGGGAGGCCTGGCGTGCTGCAGTCCATGGGGTCGCAAAGAGTCGGACACGACTGAGTGACTGAACAGAACTGATCTGAACTGGGGAAGACCTCCATACCACACATTGGAACTGGGTGCAAAACCCTTTCTACTGACAAAGTCTTATTCTTCCTGGGTCCCAGACCAATCAGTCAACTTGTTTTCCATGACATCTCTATCTCAGGCCATAGCTGTCTACCAAGGGGACAGTCAAGTGTTCTGCCCACCGGGAGTACTCACCTTACCACGGTGACACACCCAGGAGCCAGGTCTGAGTGTTTCCCCTGCATGGGTCCATCATAGGGAACCTCTGCCCAGAGGCCCACGGGTGTGAGCTGGGAGAGGGTACTGTATGATGCAGGCAGGTGACCTGGGGTCTTGACTACCTGTCTGTGTACCCGACTTGGGCCTTGGTCCCCAGTTGGACCTGGTCATGAAGGTGCCCTCT